CTGTGGACCCAGAGGTTTCAAATTTCTAAATTGTGAAGTCCCTGTTTTCATTTCCTTGAGTAATGTGTCCACATTCTGCTACCCAACTTACTTGCTTTCTAATACATATTAACCTTCATTCTGTATTCCAACATCTGGGCCATGTCTCTCTAGAATCAGCTGTTAACTGTGTATATGCTACAGTATTAAAATCAATGTCTCTATCCTGTACCCATCATTTTCATGCTTATGACTTACAACTATCCTTTTTTCTTCTAATAGGAACTTCTCAACCTCAGATAGAACCTGGGATGCGTGTATAATCACCATTATGCCTTACTAACAGTAATGTTGACATATGTGTGCTCTATTTGGTTGCTATCCAACAGTATACCACAAAAATGAAAATCTATTTAATAAACTTGTGCAACCTGGTACGTCTGTGTATTGCCCACATTATTATTGTTGTTAATTATGTTTGCTTTTACGGATTCACGACACTAAATTATATATATTACGACTCTGTGATTAGATCTTAGGAACAAATCACTTGACATTTTTCGTGATCCTTGTTTGGAGTTGTTAATACTAGGAAGAATGCTGTTTGTGTCTGCATGCTAGGCACATTGACAGTGAGAACTGTGTGAGATTTGAGGAATCTATTTCTGCTGAGTGATGGATCAGAGTAATTAAGGTGAAGTCTATATAGAGAAAATAATTGCCTAAGTCTAGTATTTAAATGAAAATTATTAGCCAAGGTAAAAGTGAGTCTTAAGTAACTCTCAGGACAGACACATTTTTTTTTTTCATATAAATGCTGGTCTCCATGCCCCTACCATCGGGGAATAACTTTGTATCTCATCTCCATATATGTATTAGGATAATCACGTGATCCAGATTCTGGCTGTGTCAGCAATCCTTTGGTGCTACTCCCAGGGGCAATGTCAATCAAACTGAGCGATGTATCCAAGAAATACTGAACAGCTTTTATTCATTAGTCTTAGTGAGACTTTAAAATAAGGCACATCAATGTCTTGGGTACAGTTCTTTTGATATTAGGTCCTAGAAATCATGTATCACAGGTTCTACGGGATTTTAAGGAGAAGAAAACAGTAAGTGTCGAGTAGGAAAGGGAATAATTTACAAGAAAATAAAAGGAATGCAAAATCCCAGGGACTTTCGAGGGCATTTAGAAAGACTTCCAGACTTGTCTACCTCAGTATCTGATTCCCAGGTAAAAACATCTTTTTTGTTTGTTTGTTTTTGGAGTTTCTCTTTCATTGGTAAAATGATAATGTTTTGGCTTCTCATACTGGTGTGGGGTCCTTCTATCAGCCTAGGGAGACATTTGAGATAGCAATGTACATAGCCAGAAATATATCGCTTATATTGCTGGAAACACATTGTTTAAAGAGGGAGCTGGAATCCATCATCAGTATTGGGTACTATAGCCCTGCCTAGGATCACCTGCGACAGCATGCTCTAAGATAAAGGTAATATGAGACTAAGAATTTTCATTTAACGTTTAGACACAAGACAGAGAATAAGATTATTAACATTTTTTAAGACAGGAGGGAGGAGGAACTCAAAATAGATTTGAAAGTTGCTAAAATTTGCATATCAGTGCCCAGTAGAGCATGAATTTCTAAAGCAATGTCAGTTGTTTAATCTTTCTTGAACATCTTTATATAAAAAATTACAACTCCAAGTGCAATCAAGGAGTTTTTGTATTTTTATTATAGAATTACATCACACAACTGTTAGATTTAATCTGTTGCATTTATCTTATTACTCTTATGTAAAGGACCAATAAGAAGAAGAAAAATAAAGTTATAGACTTAAAGAAAGCTCTCTATATGGCTTAAACTAATATTTGTTTCAAAACACATTTTCCTAGCTATTGTCTATTATTATCAGAATTGATTGAATGGAAAGAAAATAGTTGATGACATCTTAGCAAGAAATTCCTGGCAAACTTCAGCAGTGCTATGGCATATCTTCTTTATTTAAATCATTATTGTCTTTATTACTCAGATTTAGTCATCACTATGATCAATATCATGTTCTTTTCAATAAAACTGAACATGGAGAAAAAAAACAAATGCACTAAGAAGGAATATATATTTGATTATTATTTTGATATTGTATTATTTTGATATATTGATTATATTATTATAATAGATATGCAAGTCAATTTTATTTCAAACCCAATTGCACTAGTCCAGCAAATATCAATTTTAAAGCAATTAAAAATATATATTCTAAGTTATATTCACAGATTGTTTTCCTTAGCTTGCTAGTAATTGTGTCCAGCTCTGTATTTTGCATGACTATTTTTAAACTTATTTTTAAGTTCAATTTGGAATAATTTTTGAAAAACAAAACATATACACCCTTCTTCTTCTGTGCCTTGAACAGCTGTACACTCTATGCCAAATTCTGAATCTTTTCTCCACACCCTCGACTGAATCCTATTATTACAGTGCTCTTTCAAGGTCTGTTCTACAATTTATCATTGGTCCATTCTTCTTCTGGCTGGCTAGCCCAAACCTGTCTGATTTGTATTGCTGATGTGTCACAGAAATTTGCCCAATTCACTATTCTTGAACAGTTTATTAAAGACTAGTAGAAAGAACATTTGATATTGATAATACTTACGACTAAATCGAAGTGATCTGACAACAGTATGGTAATAATAGTGAGTGTTATTTAAATTAAGGAATTATGTCATAGAACTCAAGTTTCCTAATAGTTTTATGCTAAGGTGTTATCAAATATCAAACCTGTTCCTGTCAGTCTATCATTTGGTATAAACAAATTATAGTTAATAACAATGTTTTTGAAAAAAATAGTTTGAGTTCAAGAAGATCTTTCACTAAACCTATAATGTCTTTTTATTTTTACTATTTATTCTAGATGCTTTAGATGTGGCTAATCTGACAGAGTCAACAGATTTGTGGGAATACTGAACACTCCTTGATTGCACTAGTAGTCATATGTTAAAATGGTTCAGGAAAGAACAGGGATTCATTAAGAATTCAGATACTTCCTTAGTCTGGTCAGCTCCTGGAGCCAAGAAATTAGGGGTTCACAGGTCCTGCATGCAACCCAACTTTTCCCTGCCTGGTCAGCTCTAGGCACCAACAGCTAAAGGCTCCAAGTCGCAGAGCTGACAGACTCCTAGATGCTCCCAGACTCCTAGCTCTCAGTCCACATTCTCCCTGCCCTCTCAGCTCTAGGAACAGAGAGGTAATGCATCCCCAGAATCAACCACTCCCTACAACTGCCAGTAGGCAACACTCCCTACAACTGTCCAGATCCCAGCACCTAAATGTAATGAATAATCAAGCTCCCAGTACTCAACTCAGGCTTCTCCCATCTTCCTATCAGTCCACTTCCTAGTGATGACAAATAAGAATTTCTGAGACTCTGACCTCAGTTTCTTTCTCTTTCACACACATGTAAATGTTAAGTGAAAAATCTACCACTCCTGTTCCCTTATCTTTTGTAACATGTTATCACAGACACCAGAGGCCCGCCTATGGCAGACAGTACAACAATGGGTTCATGTACCTCCCATAAATAGCACCCTCCCTGTGGTGTACACAATACTCACTTGACTATGACCTTGATATATTAAAGGTCTTACTGTGCTAACTGAAGATGAAGTTACGAGAATCCAGAAAATTATACATCTTCAACAAATGAAAGTTGGAAGTTGGTGAAGAATAGTTTAACCCTAGGGATCAGATTCTGGGGTGAACTATTCAGAGAGTCTTCCCAAATGTCCTTAAAGGTCCCTGAATCTCTGTTGTTTTAAAAGGAGCTTCCAAATGTACTTTCTGTTAAAATAGAACATTCCTTTCAAGCCTTTTTAGAAAAATAATTTTATTAATATTTAAAAAATTTATAGAATTTATTCCATCATAGTTATTCACTACTCCCAATAAACTCTTCTTAAACCCACCCCATGTCTTTATTCTCGCATGTCTTGTGCCCACTTTAATTTTTTTAATTTACTAACCCATTGGCTGAAGTTATGCTATCCAAATCCTACTGTGTGTAGGGCATCCACTGCTGCATGTGGTTAGCTTACCTGATGCCACACCCTTAAAGAAAATTGGCTCTTCTTCCATCAATTGTGCATAGCTCCTCAATTAATGATGGTCCTGAATATTGGAAGAGTATGTTATATACAGGCCCCATTTGGGACTGGGCTTCCTACATTCACTTATTTTCCAAACTTTGAGAGGTTTGAATTGTTTTTTCTTTAGCTGCCATATTCTACATAAAAAACTTCTCTGAAGAGGTCTGAGAGCTATAACTAATCTATGGATAGAGAGATATGAATATAGATGTCAGTTTGATACTCTATGCATTTAACAAACAACAGTAGTATGTTTACCCTTGACACCTGTGCTCTCTCCAATTATGGGATTTGGGCCAGAGTTAAAGTACTTTGGAGTAGGCTTAACTCAACCATAACGTACCTATTCACAATAGATATAATATGAAAAACCCTAGTTCATGAATTGATGAATGGATAAATGTGGTACCTATATATAATGGACTTTTATTAGTATTATTAATTATTATTACATCCTGATCACAGTTTCCCCTCCCCTCTCTCCTCACAGTCTCTCTCCTTCCCTCTAAAAAAGGGCAGGCCTCATATGGATATCAACCCTTTGCATATAATATTACAATGGACATTCAGAGAGAAACGTGGTAAATGGATGGAGCCATAAAGCATTATACTGAGTGAGGTAATCTAGTCCAGAAAGGCAAACATCTAATGTTCTCAATTGTATGGCTCTTAGGGTTGAATCTTCAGATTTGTGCATTTGATTTAGTTTATCTGTGGAGTTCAGGAAACTAGAAATAGACCAATGATATGAGGAGGGAATAGAACACACGTGACATAAAGCAAAAAGAGGAATATGGGGAATGAGGTTTAAATGCGAGAGGGCTTGAGGGGGCAGAGAAGGGTTGAACAAGGAATAGGTCATTCTAAAGATGTTTTACACAGTTATATAGAAGCTTTCTGTTGTGTTACACAGAGTATCACGCTCATCCCTGAAGCCATATGTTACCAAATAAAAAGTCCTGTGCCGAGTGTCTGAGGTCCACGAGAAGCAGCCTCTAGATCCATTGCCTAGAGAATAGTCGCTGCCAGGCCAAAAGCTTAGAGATGAAATATACGTCCCCTGGTGGGGTCTGCAAAGAGTGGAGCTCCTAGAGTAATAGCAGGTCATCTGACAGGGGTTGGACATCATACAGGACCTCTGGAACCTGGTAGGTTTAATGCCAGTCTCCTGACTGCCACAATGTTGGTGCTGGAGGAGCAGCTGGTGGTGGTGTCGACCAGGTTGCAGGACTAGGAGGAGCCATTGGATTAACCAGAGGAGGGCAGGCAGCTCCTGAGGTAGTGAAGAAGGCTGCAGAGCTGCAGCTGTAGGCCATGTTGAGAGGAGATGTGAGCTCAGCTGGATGTAACTGAGAGGATTCTGAGTTTGAATGTCACCCTGTGGAGAGCTGGGTTTATACACTCTCAGCAACAAGTGTAGTACCCAACAGGGTCACCCTTCACATATCTGCTTGCTTCTTCCTTAACAAAGGTACAGTCAATAATTTCTTTGTAATTACACTTGCAATTGCGTAGTTTTCTGTACCATGTATTTACGGGTGTTGCAATTTCCTTGTTATAGCAAAAGGCAATGAGCCACAGATGTCAGAATTGCCTTGACTGTTGTACACTAATGCTTACTCTGTCATATCTGGGAACATCCCTCCTTTTCCTCTTGACATATTTTAAAATATGCTTTGCCATAGAATGCTATGAAGAATACATGCTTGTCTTTCATTGTGTAGAATGAGAGTAGTGAGCTTTTCCCATTATTAATGAACTAGAAGCATTACTTAGGGTTTCAATTGAAAGCCACAAAGGATTAGCCATACTTGTCTCCATTACAATTTTTCATAATTAATCTATGTGAACTATACAGAATTACCCATGTGTTTCACCTTCTAGTACCATGAGAACATTATACACCAAGAAAACATATAATGAACATAATAAGAGAGACAGCATGGCAGTTGTTACATTTCTGGTGATCAAAAAGGACAGAAATGAGACAGCCTCACACACGCCAGTTTTCTGCATCACTATCAAACTTCATAGCTTAGGGATCCATTCTAAAAAGGGGAGGGAAAATTGTGAGAGCCAGGGGGGATAGATAACTCTAAGGAAACTGTATCTTCAGAATCAACAAGACAGATGCACAGGAGTTCACAGAGAATGTGGAACCCATAAGACCTTACACAAGTTCCCATCACTGAGAGGGAGAAATGGGCATAGGCTCCCACCCCTAACTGAGAAGCTGTTTGGGATTGGTACCCACTGGCAAAAGGAGAATCAGCTTTCTTCAATGGACCATTATTGGTTATATCAACCACACTCCATGAGAGGACCCATGCACAGAACTAGTGGGCCAACATTAAACCAATTCCATTCTTTTCTGTGGGCTTTTGGTTCATTTTGGCACTCTTTTGTCTTACTAGCTTTTTGGTGTCTTTTGTTCATTTGTTTGAGACAGACAGACATGCCCACATAAGCACAAACGCACACACAAGTGTGCATGCACATACATGCACACACACACACGCACACACGCACACACACACACACACACACACACACACACACACAGAGAGAGAGAGAGAGAGAGAGAGAGAGAGAGAGAGAGAGAAGACGTGAAGTTGTCTCTGTAAGTAGATAGGGAGGAGGACCTAGCAGGAGTTAATTAAGGAAAAAATGTTCATATATACTGCATAAAATAAATAAATAAAATATCAAGTGTAAAACACATAAAATATGAGAGCATGAAACACATATTAGTATCAGAGTGGCCTGTCATGTGGCCTGAGGAAGTTAATGGGGTCTTATCTGTGTTTGGCAGTGTGAAACATTCACACCCAACCCCTTGAGGAAGAACTTAGTGGAGAACCTACTACTTGCATTCTGCTAAATGGGCACTGTATTAAAAGACTAACAATGAATTAACCATACATAAACACATCTCTCTACCCTCATCCATTTGCAGTAAATAGTGATTAACACAAAGGCCAACAATCAGTCAAGGTACAGAAAAGACAGTAGGATGTTCATCTTTAAATGAGAACTTTTGTCCTGCCCCATTTTGCCAAGGCTCAATGGCCATTGTGTGGAAGAGAGTGCAGAATGACAGTAAGAGCCAGAAGCAGCGGAACTGGAAGACAACAGGTTTTACACTCAAAACAGGGCTTTTGCACATATTGTTGCAATAAAAAAAAAGCAGTGTGAGAGAGAAAGATGCCATGTGACAGAGTTCAAGTAGAGGAGTTCTTTTTATTAGGGGAAAAGAATCGTAAAGGGGGGGAAAGGGAGAAGGTAGACCAGCCTCTGGGGACAGGAACACTGAGAGAGAAGAGAGGAAAGAGACAAGAGGGAGGGAGGGAGAAAGGGAGGGAGAAAGAGAGCAAGATGAACAGAGAGAGGAGAGATGGGAAGTGGACAGGGCCCTTTTAAAAGGGAACATAGTAAATAGCACAGGTGGTGCTCTTAGTGGCAGCAGCTGAGGGCTTTTCCTGTCAGAACTCCAAAGGCAGGCCAGTACAGATGCCTGAATCCTAACACATATGAACTCAGAATGGTCATGATAGCACATGCAATGTCTGTGAAAGCTCAAGCCAGACCAAATCACAGCATGGACCAGAGAGGTAGGCATGACATATCAACCCTCTCTGAGGAGCTGTTAACAACTGGTGGCTGCTGGGAAACAGAGTGCCAGTTTCCTTTAAGTGGTTAGCCCCCCAAAGTCAACCACTCTCCAGTGAAAGGCTTCACATCTAAGAAGGTATGGACAGCACAAACTGAGCTTGATAAATGAGTAAAAAGAATAGTGGGAAGACACAGAGTAGAGTGGGTAGAGGGAGACCTGGAGAAGATTGAGGGTTGAATATGTTCAAAACACTTGGCATTGAATTTTCATAGAACTAATAAAAATGAGGCAAAAAGAGACATTTCTTCCTAAGATGTCATCAAATATTTTTCTATTAATCTATCATTTTAGTATTATAGTTAGTAAGATATATTTGAAACGAATTAAATTATTTCCTTTTAGCTCTTTGCCTACACCTGCTTATTTTTATTCCTTATTTTGAATCTTTTATATGAGGCTAATGAGATAGAGGCAATAGGTTAAACCTATTCATATGAAGCAGTTTCCAGAGAAGTAGGAACGCGAAGATTCCTTGATTACACTAGGAGCTGTATGTTTTAAATTAAATGCTTCAGGAAAGAACAAAGTACAGAAATTCCTTTAAAGATTTGGGCTTCCATGATTATTTGATCTATAAACTTTGCAAACTTTCAAACACTTTGTGAGGCATCTTTATAATTAAAATGGTCAAAATATCTTGTATCTCTCATATTTCCTAGGATTAAATGAATATTCTATGTCAAATATTACCATGTTCCATACAGCATGCTGACACGGGTGAACCATATAAGGACTACAACACAACACAACACATGGTATTTTGATTTTGAGAGTTCAATGCTTTCTATAAACTACCTTTGCTCTCACTCCGTGTGTGTGTGTGTGTGTGTGTGTGTGTGTGTGTGTGTACATATATGCAATATATATTATAATATGTAATTTCTTTTGCTGAGTATCTGGATATCTCAAAATTTCATTAGACCAACAGACAATAAACCCCTCTGTTATTCTTCCCTCACAAGATTATGAGACTAAAGGATATCACATACCATCAATCACTGAATGACAAAGCTTTCCCTGGGGTAAGAACTGGAGGTCCACAATTCAATGAGTGACCAAGATGTCCCTGAAAGTCCCTGGAATTTAGAATATCAATTGCACTTTATAAATGCAACTCCAAAACCCACTTCCCCACCATTTTTTTTTTTAAGAAAACCAGAATCTTACTCTCTGATCTTCTTTTGTATGTCTTCTACAGCAGGCAATGCCAGATTTCTAAAATACTTGCCAAATAAAGTGTATCTGAGCCCTTGAGTTCTAGTGTGCATTGAGACCCAGACTAAAAATAATAACCAAAAGCTCATTCCTAAGCCGGGCGTTGATGGCGCACGCCTTTAATCCCAGCACTCGGGAGGCAGAGGCAGGCAGGCGAATCTCTGTGAGTTCGAGGCCAGCCTGGTCTCCAGAGAGAGTGCCAGGATAGGCTCCAAAGCTACACAGAGAAACCCTGTCTCAAACAAACAAACAAACAAAAAGCTCATTCCTACTTCTTATGTACATTGCAGGTGAGGCAGGGGTGACACCCAGACTAGGGAGGCAGGGAAGTCAGCGTGCAAATGAGCCAGGAAGTGTTGAGCTTTAAAGTTGTTCAAGGCTTACTTCTCTCTTAGCTGAACATGTGTACTCAAATACTGATCTCTGATAATTTTCGTCTATGTAGAGGCCTTACCTTTTAAATTATGTAACATCTCATTCTTGATGTTTATATTTTAGTCACGTCCTAATTAGTTTGCTCCTCTGGTTCAGCAAAAATTCTTATGCTTTGATATCAAGTAGCTCTTACTGTATGGCAATCTTCCTAGAATTGAATACCACACCAGGTTGACAAAAGCAAAACTTATATTTTCAATTCCATCTGTATAATTATTTTGATATTCAATTAAGTCTCTTAAACAATAAATAAAAGAACTGTAAAAAATAATAAAATGGACAATATATGGAGGTATCAGAATGCATGCATTCATTCGACAATTTTCTTTTCATTTTTAACTGCTCATAGATGAAAAGCAAACAGCACATGTTTATACCCATAGAACAAAGAGCAAGACATAACTTGTGGTTAACCAAAATACGAGAATCTGTAAGAAGTTGAAGATGTAAAGATCTGTCAATGGAAGGATGAAAAGTACCAGCGGGGTAACCAGGGAAACTGCACAGAGGTATTGACATTTACATTGAAAGGATATAGACAATTAACAGTTGAGTCCATAAAGATGAAACCCAAATGTCTGTCTAACAACAAAGTTGACAGGAACTAGAAGCCGAGTAGCAGATTCTGAGGTCATCACTAAGGGAAGGGAAATCTTACAGTGTATAAGTAAGAGACCTGAAGCCACTGCATCCATAGACCCCCAAGAAGTAGCTTCTAGATCCATAGACTGGGGCACATCAGTGGCTGGATCCAAAGCCCAGACACCCAGCATATGTCCCCTGACAGGGACTGCAAGGTGTGAAGCTCCTGGGGTAGTAGCAGGCTGTCTGGCAGGGGCTGGACACCACACAGGACCTCTGACAACTGGTGGACTCAATGTAGATCTCCTGACAGCCGCTGCTGAGAGAGGAGCCCAGCTGGCAGGTGCTGGGAGAGCAGCTGGTGGTGGTGTAGACCAGGTTGCTGGGGTAGGAAGAGCCACAGGAGGAACCTGAGGAGGGCAGGCAATACCTTCGGGAGCCGGAGGAGAAGTTGGCAGAGCAGCAGCTGTAGGCCATGTTGAGAGGAGATGTGAGCTCAGCCAGATGTAACAGAAGATTCTGAAGTTTTTTCACAATATGGAGAGATGGGCTTAAACACTATCACCAACAGGCACGACATCAAACAGGCTTAGCCTTGCTCATTCTTTTGCCCTATCTTTTATTAATGAAGAAATCTGGAATCTCTCTGTTATTGCAATTGCACTTGAATAGTTTACTGTACAGTATATTTAGAGATGTGTTTTCCTGAATACACAAAATTGAAATGAGCTACTCCTATCTCACTGATCTACACCAAAGCTTATCCCATCAAATCCAAGAAAATAAAATACCTTCTCTCTCTACTTCTCTCTCTGTCTCTGTCTCTGCTCTCTGTCTCTGTCTCTGTCTCTCTCTTTCACACACACACACACACACACACACACACACACACACACACACACACACACACACACAGGAGATACAGGTAGAGAGAGCTTATAAGGGTATGTTTACTGTTTAGGGTAGAAAATGAGAATAGTCTCCCTTTCTTCTTGTTAAGAGATTTGAAAGATTACTTAAGATTTTGTATGAAGTATACTGAAGAGTGACCATACTTGACTCTATCTTGTATTACATTATGTACTGAGGACACACAGTATTGGCACATGGTTCACCTCAAATAGCAAACAGACAATGTAAGTTAAGAAAACTGAGTAAGTTTTAACTGCAAATGATATAGGGTTCATTCAGGGTGGTGTACGGTTCTGAGCTTCTAGGCATGGTCAACCAATGACTTCTGTAACTTGAAGCCTAAGCCATGAGACACAACCCATGACTATCACTGCCTGGATGGCCAGGAACTGAAAGCTAGATGGCTCAGACACCTAGAGTAGAACCAAACATGACTGCCAAAAAATTTTTGGATATGAAGTCTGCTAGCCAGGTTACATGGCTCATGGTATCTGCCAATCTTCGTGATAGAGACCACTCTTTGGTACTGGCTTCTATGGAATCAACTGTTGGGTTTTTAGACTCACAGCTTATCAAAGTCTATTTTGTTCCATAGCTTTTGTTTTCCTGTCCTACCTCTATCTTTTCATCCTGTCTTTAATGGCTTCTTTCACTCTCAAGTTTGATTACTGTGTAACCTGAATTACGCTTAACCAACAGTACTCTTTAAATGTATGTATGTTATTTGGTTTTCATCCAAAAACATTTGAAAATGGAATATTTAATCCAATAAATTGGTGAGATCTGAGTCCTCATTATATTTTTCCCATTATTATTAGGTGGCTTTTAGTTTCTGAATTTACATATTTAGGAGACTTAATAAAGACAAATATATTTCTTTAATTGGATTTTGGGACCAAAATAACAAATTATTTGTTATTGGGTATGTTCCTTTTTGAAAGAGTTAGGTAATAATAGGAAGATTGTCATTTCTGTTCCAAATTTGGCTCAAAAACAGTCACAATTACCTGAGAATGAAAAATGTGAACTTTTGCTGATCCAGAAAAAAGGAATAATTAAGACCCTAATTAAAAGTTCTACCATCAAGAATAAGGGATATAACTTATTAGGTTGTTATAAATATAGGCAAATATATTTAAATCTAGTATTTGAACGGAAGTTCTAAACCAACAGAAAAGTAAGATTGGAAACATTGTCAATAATGACAGAGCTTTGCACAAATGCTGATGTCCTCACCTGCCATGGTGTGGCACCTGCCCTGACTCTCATGCCCAGATGTGTGTAAGGAGAGGCACACCAATCTCCGGTGGACAAACTTGGTTCGAGGGTTGTGGTGACCTTCTAAAATGCCTTTAACAGTCTGCTTCAATTAAGTTAGATTTGCTGTCCTAAATGGAGTGCAAAAGCCAAAATGAAATCAAAGATGAGTGTGTGGTTTATTTGAGACTAGAACTAGGAGAGGGAGAGACCAATCCATGCAGTGGTGCACTGTCCATAAGTTCATCAACTTGGGCAGGAGGAAGTCATAGTTCCAGGTATGGAGTCAGAACCCACCAGAGGGATGAGCACACAGTTTGTAAGTCTGGTGCAATAGAAATCATGGGAAGGACATTCCAACTGGGCTGAATCTTGAGAGCATATAATAACAGACTCGAAGTCTCATAGGTGGTGGTACTACTGAGGCCAGTTGAAGTGCTCTTGAATTAAAACTATACTATTGGAGATTTTACTCTAGCTAATTTCAACTTGTATACTATGGAGCCATAATATTTAGACAGAATCCTTTTTACACAAAATATATACATGTTCAGTGAGACAGAATAAAGGATGCAGCTCCAATACCTACAAGAACAGCTATTTAAGTTCTTACCATGGTAGCAAAACCATGACGTGGAAGCAAATGCAACATCTTCTACAGATGGTCTTGGGAATCCTGGTCATAAACATGCAGAGAAAGGAAACTAGGCTCTTTCTCATCTTCCATCCTGCACTTAACTCCCAATGGATCAAGGACCTCACCTGATACTCTGAAACTTCTAGAGGATAATGTAGGCTTACATTTCAATTCATAGGCAAAGGCCAGGGCAGCACCACAGAGCCAACCCTGTTAGCAGGGGTTTGGGTGAACCAGCCCAGAAATTGTGAGCATGGAATAGCTCTCTTTATAACCCATCTGTCTTGTGGTGGCATGGGCAGAGGAGAGTTGCTCCCCACACCACTCCACCCATGTGCCCATAAAGTCTCAAGCAGGTGGGAGAGCTTGTCCTGTGTTTATAAGTATGGGAGAGCTATCGACCACTGATCCCCACCAGCTACACATTCAGGAGGGTTGGCTCTACACCTCTCCAGGGCATCACAATTGAAACAACACTGTTACAGCAGGCATGGGAGAGCCAGCCCTGAAACTGTGACCGTGGGAGAGCTGTCCCCATTACCCATCTGTCTTGTGGAAATAGGGGCCAGGAGAAGTTCTTTCCCTTACCATAAGGAATAATATTTTCAATTTATCTGAAACTACATTGAATATGCCTCATTGTATTACAAATAACTACCTAGATGTGTAATTTACATGTAATATACCGAATTGTATAATATATATTTGTATATTACATAATCCCAGTACTAGTCATGAGACATGAGAAACTGTCTGTTCAGTTATTGTTTAGTGGATCCAAGAAAGTCTCAGAACAATATGGCTATTGTCTTTGTCCTTGGTTCCTTCCCAGGAGTTAAGTTCCTATTTCTGAATGCATGGTGGACTTTGGGCCCAGAACTTAAATGGTTTGAGCTGGATCTTACCCAAAAGACATCTCTGTGATTATTAGTCTTCATAGCACAGGGTGATGCTATGTAAGTTTCTAGAAAGGAAGAAATTCAACAGCAGACTCAGTTATGACACCTATAAACTATAGCAAAGACCACTGTGGCAAGATGTCTCTAAGAGGCTCAACAGTGGCATTCAATCTTGGTGCTAATCAACAGCTGTCTAATTGGACTTACAGCCCAATAGACAACAGGGAAATCCTGGGATTATAAGGTCATGGATCTTACAGGAGAATCTCCTATGGCCATTTACTAATCTAGCGCAATTCCTACCTGCGTTCTAAAACCTTAGGGCAGCATTCAGCCAAGTGTAGCTCTCAACCTCCCTGAAAGAAGGTTCTCATTGTAGCAGACTAAAAACACTAGAGAAAAATCAAAGAATGCCAAAACATAGAGGATAACGGATTTCCCAGTGCCCAGACTCATTGGATACATTTCCAATACAACTCTTGCTACTAAGGCTTAGGGAATAGCATAGAGGAGAGACAAAAAGATTGCAATAGACAGTTAGTAGAAATCTGCTCTTAGACCCTGTCTGAGATCCCTGAAATCATAGGGAAGCTATAGCCCTTATACCACAACAATAATGCTACCTAGGATCTGAAAAAATAATACTATTAGATATGCTACCCTATCCCAGACAAGGAAATATAGGCAAACAAGGAATGTTGAGACAGGGAAAAAAATCTTCCTCAGTTATAAGTTCTCTAATTGGCTATCCAATACCCAATGATGAGTCCTGAAATTGTATACCTATAAGCAACACTAAAAGGACCAAAAAGGTTGTATTTATATATTTATGCATTTATACACATATCCTATAGTAATAAGTTTAAAAAGGACCATAGCTTTGATAGGAGCTAGGGGATTGAAATATGGAAGGGGTTAAAGGCAGAAAAGGGGAAAACAAGGGTAATTATATTTTAATGAAAAATAAAATAGAGGGAGAGAGTGCAGGGTGAGATGACTGGAGTAGCAGGCATTTACGGGGCAATGTGGAAATTCAGTACAGTGGAAATGTCCTGGAACCTACGAGGGCAACACTAATGAGGACGCTTATTAAAGGAGGATGTGGACCCTAAACAGGCCATCTTCTGCAACCATGCAAGGCTCCAAGTGGTGGAATGAGGCCACAAATCCAGCCACAAAACCCCCCAGTCACACCTGTCCTGCCTGCAAAACGTCCTGGGGCAATGGTGGCTCAGAGCTTGTGGGAGTGGCCAGTCATTGACTGGTCTAATTTGAGACCCATGCCAGGAGTGGCAACCCATTCCAAGACCACCTGGATGGCCAGGAACTGGAAGCCGACGTCTCAGAGATCTAGGGTTGGACCAAACACAATTGATAAAAACAAATGAAGGAAACAATTCCTAGGGATGTTCTACTATCATCAGTCATCAGTGAGGCTTCCTCCAGCAGCTGGTAGGAGCAGCAGAGACTCTCATCCAAACATTAGGCAGTGTTCCTGTGGAAAAGGGGGAGGAAGGACTGTAGAAACCAGAGGAGTGGGGGACACCAGGAGAACAAGCCCACAGAATCCACTAAGCAGGGCTTATAGAGGCTGACAGAGACCAAGACAGCAATCATGGAGCCTGCAGGGATTACTCAGGTATTCCCTCTACGTGTGTGGTTTAGTTCTTTAGCTTGGGTTTCTTAGGGGCCCCTAACAGTGGGAGTGGGGGTACCTTGACTCTTCTGCCTGTTCTTGGAACCCTTTTTCTCACCCTGGGTGGCCTCATCCA